TGAATGCTGTCTTGAATGCTGTCTTGAATGCTGTCTTGAATGCTCTCTTGAATGCTGTCTTGAATGCTCTCTTGAATGCTGTCTTGAATGCTCTCTTGAATGCTGTCTCGAATGCTCTCTTGAATGCTCTCTTGAATGCTCTCTTGAATGCTGTCTTGAATGCTGTCTTCAATGCTGTCTTGAATGCTCTCTTGAATGCTCTCTTGAATGCTGTCTTCAATGCTGTCTTCAATGCTGTCTTGAATGCTCTCTTGAATGTTGTCTTGAATGCTGTCTTGAATGCTCTCTTGAATGCTGTTTTGAATGCTCTCTTGAATGTTGTCTTGAATGCTCTCTTGAATGCTCTCTTGAATGCTCTCTTGAATGTTGTCTTGAATGCTCTCTTGAATGCTCTCTTGAATGTTGTCTTGAATGCTCTCTTGAATGCTGTCTTGAATGTTGTCTTGAATGCTGTCTTGAATGCTGTCTTGAATGCTCTCTTGAATGCTGTCTGGGCGCACGAGACTGTCTAGTTTTGATTTTCTTGGCGGGTGAAGTCTGTCTTAATCTGTCTTTATCGCAATATTGCTGTAGAACTTGTCTAAGTTTGATTTCTTTTGTGGGTATGTGCTGGGCACGAGTGTTTGAATGACAGGTGTGTGTGTATTAAGGATAGGTGTATGACAGAGCAGGTGTGTATTAATGACAGGTGTATGAATGACAGGTTCAGTAGTTAAGTCGTTTGTGTGGTAATACTGCATATCTTTGATCCCACCTAGTGCTTTGATATGTATGTATGTATACATATATATGTACAGCTTCGTAAGCACGCAAGCCATAGATCACTGAGAACTCTAAATGACACAACCAGGACTCGAACCCATGACGTCTAGGATCACCCCCAAAACCTACACAATACCGTGACCACCGCACCGTGGATCGAATATTTAGAAGATCCATTGTTAGTGATTCCCCAGACACCTGTCTTAGCCCACTCAGCCACGACAGGACCAAAACTGACCAATGGGGAAGTCTACTGAAGGCTCTGGAGGCCCCCAAACTGAACCCCAACCAGGAATTGGTACAGTCGGGTTCGCTTACAGTCTGGCCTTAACGTCACGACAACTTCGATATCTACAATAAGAACGACAAAAAGCAATATCTGTACAAAAAAACTGCTATCTTTTTGCCTCGGTTTGAATGCGAAACGAAAATATATTTCGCACTTGCGTGTCCGCCCGCTACGGATGATTTTACGAATATATTGTGTCTAGAATGATATGTTGGAGCAGTGGATCATATACTGGAGACCGACTGAATGGGGTGCTGGGCAAGGGGTAAGAGGAGTCTGGGGGGAGAAAGAGGGAGTAGGGAAGAGTAGGAGATAGAGAAGAGGGGGAAGAGGAGTGGTATGATAAATTAAAGAAGGTAGGGCAAACTCCCTCAGCCCCCCAAGTCCACTACGGGCTCACCATAGCCCGTGCTACTTGGAACTTTTTGTTCCAAGTAGCGAATCTTAAACAGCAACAAACTCCGTCACACAGAGGAAAAGGATAATTGAGAACGTGTCTTCAGTAGTTGGGACAGGAAATGAGTGCTTGTCCTCTCCTAATTGTGCTTGCGGGGGTTGAGCTCTGGGTCTTTGGTCCCGCCTCAAAGAGCTCTGGGTCTTTGGTCCCCGCCTCAAAGAGCTCTGGCTCTTTGGTCCCGCCTCAAAGAGCTCTGGCTCTTTGGTCCCGCCTCAAAGAGCTCTGGGTCTTTGGTCCCGCCTCAAAGAGCTCTGGGTCTTTGGTCCGCCTCAAAGAGCTCTGGGTCTTTGGTCCCGCCTCAAAGAGCTCTGGGTCTTTGGTCCCCGCCTCAAAGAGCTCTGGCTCTTTGGTCCCGCCTCAAAGAGCTCTGGCTCTTTGGTCCCGCCTCAAAGAGCTCTTGGTCTCAAAAAGGTGCAAGAAGGGGCAAAAAAGGTGCAAAAAATGTGCAGAAGGGGATGGATTATGCTTGAGCCAGGTGTGGATATTGGTGTTTGGGTTTTAATCCACCTGTGAGTGGACGTAACACCTAATCTAACTCCTGAGGCACATATAAATAGGATAACGACAGCAGCGTACTCTACACTGGCAAAAGTTAGATCATCATTCAGAAACCTAAGTAAGGAGGCATTTAGGGCGCTTTACACTGCCTACGTGAGGCCAGTCTTAGAGTATGCCGCCTCATCATGGAGTCCCCATCTGAAGAAACACATAAGGAAACTGGAAAAGGTTCAGAAGTTTGCGACGAGGTACGCCGCAAACCTCGTAAATTGTACGAGGTTCAGTTAGTAGAATGTTAATACTAAATGTTGACCAGACCACACACTAGAAAGTGAAGGGACGACGACGTTTCGGTCCGTCCTGGACCATTCTCAAGTCGATTGTAAAGTTTGAAAGAATAGGCAGAACACTCAACTAGTAATATTAAATTCAAATAACGACTTCCGAAGCAATATATTAACAAAATGCATATATATATATATTATATATATATATATAATATAATTTATGCATTCGTTCATCATTTATTGACAACATATTTAACTAGCAAATGGAAATTCACATAATGCACCCGTACGCCATAAAGATAAAAAGATCTATCTGTTTCGCAGTAATATATTTAAAAAAAAAAAAAGTACGTCCTGCTGCCTTAAAGGAAATTACAAAAATTACATTTCGTTAAAAGTAAATTAAAGTGAAAATATAAAAATGAAACGTGGAATAATTAAGAAACAGAAGATAAACAATATAAAAATTAAAATACACGATCAGATAGCAAAATACAATTAGGCATAAGCAGAAACTTAATACAAAAACAAAAAATAAACTTTGAAATGTATAAAAAAGGTCGCAAGATGAATGGTTCTGGAGCTGAGAGGCATGAGCTAAAGGGAAAGTAGCCTCCCGCCAAACCCACACCGAAACTACGACGTTGGTACAACGTTCGAACAAGTTTTAACACCTCCTAACCAGTTATAAGAACCAATATAGCAAGTTGTAACAACGTTCTAATACGTCATAAACACGTTAAGCCAAGATGTAACAACTTTATTACAAGTTGTAACAAGCGGAAAATATAGACAGTTTCGGTTTGTGTTTCCAGGGCTGGGATATCTTACCTATCTGATCAAATAAGTATTGTGGACATGAAGGTAAACTCGAATAGGTAGATTCGACAGTTAGGAAAAAGGTAATGAGTCTCGACTATATAACAACACGTAGGTGAGTGAACAAACACATATACATCTCATACAAACAAAACAAATATATTTTCACATTTTAGTTCCTCATGTCTTTAAAAACATGTAAATATATGTACATAAAATATGTACCCAAATCCTCCCATGCAAATAATGTTCTCTCTGACCTCATGTCTCACAATATTTTGTTCTTCCCTGATATATTATTATTATTGAAACACAAAGAACATAACTTCATGTATTTATATATAGTATATATATTATATATAGTATAGTTAGCTAGTATAATAGGGGTTAAATATAATAGCTATTAGCAATGTTTATATTAAAAATATAAATAAATATATATATTTTATATATATATATTATATATATTATATTATATATATATTTATATATATAAATATATATAAAAAATATTAGCAATAGCCATTATCCATGTTTCTCTACGTTTAGAATGATAAGGATGATAATATTACTAGTTGTGTTGATAAGATGGTGATTGTAATGATAAAAATGATAATGTTATTAATTATTTTAACTTATAATAATATAATTAAAATAATAAATATATATAAATTTATATTTATATATATTTGCATTTTATATATAAATAATTATATATAAAATGCAATTCTCACTAATATAATATTCAATACTCACTCAAAATACTCAAAAAATACTATATACAAAAAATACAAAATACTAAATACTAAATACAAAATACAAAAAATACTATATATATATAATATATATATATATATATATATATATATATATATATATATAGATATATATATATATTTATATATATATATATAATATATATATTTTTTTTTTTTTTTTTTTCATCGAAAAAATATATATATAGATTTTTCGAAGTCAAAATTTAGGAAGTTTATTTCTAATCATTATCTTGAGCTTAAAAAAACAAATGAGCTGTGATGGTTGGTAAGAGACATGTCAACAATCAGTTACCAAGTAGTAATGACAACACTTGCAATGCAACGTGCTGGTCCCGCTAGTCGAAACGTTTGGGCAATAGCTATATATTTCTCCTATATTTCTTTTAACTAAAACCAAAGTTTAGTTGAATTTGCATTAGCGTTCTCGTAAGATTTCTTGAAGGTGAGAGTATTTGCCTCATGTTATCTTATGTTGAAGGATGTCACTGAACATTTATCTAGCGGTGTTTTTGTTCAATGTGTTCATTCAAGGATTTTTGTTCAGTATGTTCATTCAAGGATTTTTTGGTACGTTCATTCAAGGATTTTTGTTCAGTATGTTCATTCAAGGATTTTTGTTCAGTATGTTCATTCAAGGATTTTTGTTCAGTATGTTCATTCAAGGATTTTTTGGTATGTTCATTCAAGGATTTTTGTTTCAATATGTTCATTCAAGGATTTTTGTTCAGTATGGTCATTCAAGGATTTTGTTCAGTATGGTCATTCAAGGATTTTTGTCAGTATGGTCATTCAAGGATTTTTGGTCAGTATGTTCATCAAGGATTTTTGTTAGTATGGTCATTCAAGGATTTTTAGTATGTTCATTCAAGGATTTTTGTTCAGTATGTTCATTCAAGGATTTTTTGGTATGTTCATTCAAAGATTTTTGTTCAATATGTTCATTCAAGGTTATTGTGATGTTCATTCAAGGATTTCTGTTATGTTCATACAAGGATTTTTGTTCAGTATGTTCATTCAAGGATTTTGGTATGTTCATTCAAGGATTCTGTTCAATATGGTCATTCAAGGATTTTTGTTCAGTATGGTCATTCAAGGATTTTGTTCAGTATGTCATTCAAGGATTTTTGTCAATATGTCATTCAAGGATTTTTGTTCAGTATGATCATTCAAGGATTTTTAGTATGTTCATTTAAGGATTTTTGTTCAGTATGTTCATTCAAGGATTTCTGTTCAATATGGTCATCAGGATTTTTGTTCAGTATGGTCATTCAAGGATTTTGTCAGTATGTTCATTCAAGGATTTCTGTTCAATATGGTCATTCAAGGATTTTTGTTCAGTATGTTCATTCAAGGATTTTTGTTCAGTATGTTCATTCAAGGATTTTTGTTCAGTATGTTCATTCAAGGATTTTTAGTATGTTCATTCAAAGATTTTTGTTCAATATGTTCATTCAAGGTTATTGTGATGTTCATTCAAGGATTTCTGTTATGTTCATACAAGGATTTTTGTTCAATATGTTCATTCAAGGATTTTTATTCAATATGTTCATTCAAGGATTTTTGTTCAATATGTTCATTTAGTGTTCATCAATACTCATATAGGTACCGGGTGAATATCACTCCACCTACAGACGAATCCATTCATGAATCCATGAGTTTTCTCTTAAAAGCAATCATTAATTCGCTTTAGAAAAGTTCAAAATTCCTAACGCTTGCAGTATTCCCTGTGTTCCGATCCACTACACAGCTGGTCTTGGATTCATCCAATGACTGATGCAAAAAATGCAAAAAACTAATGTTTACCAGACCACACACTAGAAGGTGAAGGGACGACGACGTTTCGGTCCGTCCTGGACCATTCTCAAGTCGATTGTAACACACTAGAAGGTGAAGGGACGACGACGTTTCGGTCCGTCCTGGACCATTCTCAAGTCGATTGTAACACACTAGAAGGTGAAGGGACGACGACGTTTCGGTCCGTCATGGACCATTCTCAAGTCGATTGTGAGAATGTCAGATAGAAAAAACTTTTTTTCGATGTTTATTTT